TACGGAGGTATTCGCGTTACCACATCGTTGCACTTATTTGCTGAAAGTGCGTCGGCTGCTTATTTTATAATAGGCTGTCTCAACACAGACGGATATTTATACTTTTAGGGTTAAATTGTGCCCGATTTGCATAATATACGATCATCGGTCATATTAAATATTCACGCCATATCACATTCGGTTTCAGCGAAATATTAGGCTACCTCCATAAATAGCACTAAGTAAATAAATTTAAATCGCTCAGTTACTAACTGGAACTTCTGTTCAAAGACTTTCAGCAGAGGTACCTTCTTAAACAAGACTCGTCTCATACGTCCGTTGATCAAAATCCCTTGTTCCACGAGAATCACTCTAATGGCCATCGAATTCAAAGTTACAGTTTTTATGCACATGATTTTTATGCCGCCAATCACGTCCTCACTGAAATATTTTAAAGAACGCATACTCAAATAAACAGTTTTTCTTGACCGTTGGACGTAAACGTCGTGCTTAAAGTTACACACGCAAGCGCATAGAAATAATCAGCGCCATTTTAACTATAATTATAATCATAAATTAACTTATTTCTAAAAAAAGAGCGGACGTTGCCATTCTGATACCACCAGGATAGCTTTCCATGCACAAAAATGACTTTTATGGCTCATGCACATCATGCCACGACTATTGCTTCTGGTGTCCGAGCGGATTGCTATTCCATACAGAGAAATAACCTAGACAGTTATATTCATATGAGTTTAAGGCTCTACGATTATTAATCCGTAATAATAAACAACGCCATTTCGACACAATGTAAATGAATTTTCGCTGTAGTCGGTCAGCCGGTGGTAGATCCATATTATCCGCTCGTTAGTTAGGTACACCTAATAAACACTGCACAGCTTGTCCTGATCAATAAAAGCAAGGATCTTCCTCCAGATACGAGGCGAACGTATTGAGTTTCTCAAGCAATTCACTACGTTGGCCTCGTTTCCTTCTCTATAGGATACTGTAGGACCTGTAGTTAGAGATCGTGGCCGCTTGGGAAAATAAAGATCTGCAAGGAAAAGTTCTCATCAGTCGGCTTTCGATGGTAACAAAAATATACATAGAATAGAGGCGTATAACATGTATAGGCACATGAATACAACGTATATCGACCATGGTGCGTATGCAACTCTGCCTCGGTGTCCATGCATGTTTGTGGATACGTGTTTGTGTGTATGCCAGCGGTGGTTAACAGGTCCCGCGAGACTTGTTATCCGTCAGGATACAACAACGTCTAGTGCGTCATGGTACGCTTGGTCCTGTGCTTTTCTGCTAGAAGCCGAGCTCTATTCGTCGTGGTGAACACTTGTATAAACAAAACTGTCAACTTAACATACTGGAACAACTCCATTTACTATAGTTATTGTGAAAGAACAACTGGAAGGCGGAGGAGCGCACCAAACATGGACACATAGTTTGCAGACGTTTTTTCGTGTATACTTTTTATTCGTGACCAGTAGACAACGATCGGCCATAACCAGTGACTAATACAATCTTCGATTAACGCATACTCAGCGTACTGGCTGCAGAAGGAAACTGATCAGCCTTCCTAAGCGAGAGAGACGATGTTTTGTTGCACCTTTGTAATAAGCACAATGACTTTAGTGCCCTGGCTTAGTGGCTGCTTGCCCTTCAAGTGGGCTCCTTGCCTAGTTATACAATGCTAGCTGGCTTGTTCGTGCAATAAACGAGTAGTTACAACTAACTTGCAAGTTATCGAAACGGTTCTCACGTCAATTAGAGCACATAATCAATGAGCGCGAGTTGATTTCAAGCAAAAATAAACTTCGTTTAATGAGATCTCGTTCTATTCTTTTGGCTAAATCGAAATTTCTATTTCTTTAATATACATTTAATTTGGGCTGGACAATAAAGGCATTGTTCGATATCTGCTGGGTTCAATCATTTAACTACTTGGATATGACCACCTAATTTCAAACTACCATAAAACGAACTGGGGATGGAGGTTTATTCGTAATTCTTCTAACTAGAGCTTCCCAACCTAGTGGGTCGAGCTGCTCTAACTCTGGTGGCAATGAAATCAGGAGCGGTCGGGTCTATAGGGATGTTTTTTGGCTCATTTGAAGTTTTCTTGTAAATTTTTTCTGGTACATAGTAGGGTCCTGCGTTCGCACATGCTGGCGTGCATATTTTTTTTACAGACGATAACAAACATCTCAGCCAGTTGGCATGCTTCACAATCTAGAAGAATGACAACACTTCAACCCGTTGAGATCCATCTTATATATGTGCATTGACCAAAAGGATAGAGCGTTCGAATTCGGACAAATTCTGGTAAATTGTTTGTTGTACCAAGTGTGTGTGTTTACTCACTATTTTTGGCGCGAGACTAAAGCTACCCTTTTCTAGACCAAACCATAAACCCACCACGGTGGCATTTTTGCAATTTGAGCGAAAATAAACTATTATTCAATGCGTTCAGACAAAACAGACCTCTGCCAAGATTATACACTTCCTGTTTTTCCAAATCGACTGGATATGTTATTGCCAATTTTCGTATGGCTCTTGAAGGATCCGAAACTATTTTTAGCGGTAAAATCGGAAGCTTCTCAACGAAGTGTAGAATTAAAGAGTTCAAAAATGCATCAAAATGGTTCAAAAAAACATTTTCGATACGTTTCGGTCTTTTGTGTAGAAATTAAAAACCGTTTAGAAGAACAGAATATAAACAGTCAATTGAGCTCTTGTATCTTTTTTTACGTGTAGCACATTTGAGCGATATTCTAATAAGCTTACAAGCTACCAATATCGTTTGTATAGTAATTTGCGGATTAAATAAAACATGTTTATATAACAGGTAAGTAGTTCACATTGGTCACAGGAATAACACTTCTAATAAATGCAAACAATTTATTTAGTTTCGTTTAGATACAATCTCAGTACTAGCCTATGAGAAACAGACTCCAGAAAGTTGACGACTCGTAAGGTTCACTATCGTTTTAATTATAAAAGGGAATTACTTTCACTTTGCGTAGCACACCTAAATTTATATTTAGTTAAATAGAGATTTTCTTAAAATAAAGTTTTAAGGTACAGCTCCTCTACGGCAAATACTAATTAGAGGATGCTCACAGAGAGGAATATAAGCAATAGAATACATTCGGTTCCCTTGACGCTAGCAAATACGTTTATACAGTACGATTTTGTCTCAGAATTACGACGCATCATCCCAATAACGTCTCTGTCTTACCTACTACCATATTTCAAATATAAATCTAGTTAAGACATGAATTTTGTTAGCTCTATCGAAACTTATATAGGCCTAATACTGCTACGTACATCGTACCCTTAGAGTTTCGCGTCTTTTTTCTCTAACTGTTTGGCGTTATTGGAAGCACCAGCCTCCACAGGGTGCAGTTTGCGTAGTATTATCTGTTGTTATTGTTATCGTTAATATCACCTACGTCGTTGTTCCACATGAGGTTCAGGTTGTAACGAGTAGCGTATACGATCAGGATTTGCCTGCACTGGACGACGAGTTAGGATTCGGTATCTTAGGACCAAGTAGGCCAGCTGAGCTTTTTGGAGGTTTCGACTCACAAGAGATTCGGAAGACTTGGAAGCGGGGGTGAGCTTTTACAGAGCGCCCAGACACGGCCGCGCCTCTCTTACGCTTTAAACAGCACCAGCAGCATCTAATTACCAACGCCACCGTAACCATCAACAGTAAAAAGACCGCTGATGCCAGCCATTGGCTTCCCCCAATGCTTCCCGATGCTGGTTGCAGTAAGCCCATTCGCCCACTTGGTAACTTATATAGCGTGTTCCGATACGCTGTAGAAGATGAGGGCCTCGAATAGCTCGGGCTCGCTGTTTTGTTAGCCGGCTGGACGGCCTGTCTGGTCTGGCCCCCCTATAGGAAATAGAGCATAATACATGGAGCTGTGCATGGGTTGAGGGTGCTAAGTTGAGGGCGAGCAAAGACAACTAGTTAAAAGAAGCACGCAACGACGTACAAGCCGTTGCCAACCAAGAAATTGGGTGTTGCCAAGAAAGAAGGACGTTTGTTGGGAGTGGAATGGCAGTGATGGTACGGGTGGCCGTATTTGTTGTTGTTGCTGTTTGGATGTAGAAAGTTGGAGTTTGCGATAGCAGTCGGCTTGTGGCAGTAAAACTGGCTGTGGGGTAAGACAGAAAAAAGTGGAAACGGAGAGACGAAAAGGAACAATAAAACGAAGCAACTGGATCGAAAGAAAGGGGTGGTGCTGTCGTTGCTAGTGGACCGCGAATATGGCAAGGCAGTAGCAACAAGATAAGACTAATTCGTAATCAAAACCACTCATTGGGGGCTGGACGAAGCAGCATTGACGAAAGCCTGAGTTTGCGGCATACTGTTGTCGACCGAATCGGGTCCGGTCCGGGCGACCCATATCTGACGATGCTGGTCTGTGCTCGCTGTTTTCTAAACTAAACGGTGGATGTGACTGCGATGAAAAACCTTATATAGGACGAAACGACGGAGACGAGAACACGGTGAAATAGTGATAGATATTACTGCTGTTAGGACTAGAGTGTCGAACAGGTTGCGCGAAAACACAATGCACAAACGGCTGTAGCTTAGTTCAAGAACAACAACACCGCTACCACAAACGCTTTGGGATAACGAGCGTTACATTAAACTTTTAATTATCCATCCGTTTTGGCCCGCGGCCCGCGCCTTTCGTAGACCGCATTGTTGCCGTTGCTATTTGCCACCTAAGTCCCTTCGAGTTTTTTTCCTAGTTTTGTCTTGCCAACGCTTGCTTTTTGAATCCTTGGCGACGTGACTGTAAAACGAGCCGACGGTAGTGAAAGCTGTAACTATTTTGCACATTGCCCACTGGCGTTCTTCAGCCGCTTTCTGCGCTGATCGCGATAGAGGTCTTTGCAAGCCAGTCACAGTCTATACAGCTGCGATGGCGGCGTTAGTTGCCGCCGTGGCTGCACAAGTAGCAATGACAGAACGGTGGGTATCTGCACTCTTTTCTCGGTGTACAAGTACTTAAAAAGGGTACATGTATAATACGCACGAGTATGGAAAATTATTACGTTAGTGTGCATCTGAAAGTGTGACCCCACCTGCGTTTCCTCAGATTTGTCTGCGACTGGATGCGGTGCAGCTGGAACGACCCGTTTCACGTTAGCGCCATCAATAGAAAGTGAATGGAAAAGGAAGTCAGCTTGGTAAGTTCCCAAAACGATGGTGCCGGTGTCGATTCACGCCTTTGCTCGGTCCCTGGCACTTCACTGAAAAAAGCCATAACGAGCAGATGAAAAACATCTCCGGAGAGAAAGACGCGAAGCTCAAAAAATAAGCAAAAAAGAGTGGGTTGGAGGGATGGGACTAAAAAACCGGCAAAACAAAGCTAGAACGGCTAGTAAGGGACGACGACTCGGATGGACCAGTTAACGGGAGGCTGAGGATTGAACTCCCGACCCCGCCATTGCTTTTCCGACCTCCCTAGCTTCGTGATTCTCTGTCTCTCGGTCTCCCTCCTGTAGCCTTGACTTATATGCGAGATAAAAGGGAGCGCGTGAAGAAAACTAAGGAAAGGGTAAAATGAATCCCGTCCCTGTAACGGTGGCTTCCCTTGGCTGGTTTAAAATCAGTGCTGGGGTTGTATAAGGAAAAAAGCAGAGAGCGGTGTAACTTGGCTTCTACGAAGACCAAGAAAGAAGTGCGAGACGAGTGAGGGGGGAAGAGTATATAGCAAAGAAGATAGGCTTGGCAAGGCCCGACAGCTCCAACAACCCCCTTGACGGCTGCTCCCATTCTTCTTGACGATAAACGAACTTTGCTGCATCGTTCGTACACACACAAGCGCATGACTCCACACACAGACATACAGGCACTAACGCACTTACGTGGTACTACAACCAGGAACGAAACGAAAACACGAACCATTCACCCATGTGTACGAATCTACAATGACTGGAACGAATAAGAAAACCTGGCCTCGACAAACAGATAGAAGCAAAAAAGGCCGAAAGCACGTTGAGAGAGGCTGAAATGAAGAATACAAAAGACGAACCTTTCGTTTAGCCTACGAAGTGCTTATATTTACATATGTTACATAGATGAATGCATAAGGATGAGAAAAAAGAAGAGTTTGCGGTCGTTGCCTTCCAAATCGCTTAGATTTTGCAGTGCACTGAAATAAAGTTTCAACATTGGCGTTGATTTTGCCACCATCGCTCTTGAAGGTGAGATGCGCGAGTGATCGGAGAAACTCCTTGGTAAACTGATGGAGGTTGACCAGATAACCTGTCGTGTCAAGGCGAAAGTCAGAGCACGAAGGGGAACGGTTTATTCGCAGGCGCAGAAGCAGCGCCGACGCGCGGCTTTTCGACTTATTGATGCAGAATGAAGAGCTTGCCCATTTAGTCCTCGCGTCTGTCGATCAGAGAAGAATAATTTCCTCCTGTTGTATGAGTGATGCGGGCTCGGGGAACGATAGGTCGACCTCAAACGCCGGGTAGTCTTGCTCGCGCTTGATGCGAGCATAGATTAGGAGTCCAACGATTAGGTAATTTCTGAACGAAACAGATAGGTCAAGTTACAAAACAATGATAGTAACCTATTCAAAACGATCATTATAGTGAATAAGTTAGGACATATGATCAAGCAATAAAATTTAAATAATACGCATTTCGTGGTTGTTTTTTAGTTTGAAAATTATTCACAAAGTAACGCACTGCATATAAGCAGTAGCTATTAGTGTAAAATTATATAGCGTAAGTTATATATTGTGTGCTTCTTTGCGCATAAAAGTATAACATATGTAAGATTACTTACACGGCAAGTACTATAGACATTACGCCTGCTAGTATGGGGAGCCATATGTCGCCTCCATGCTGGTACACAAAGCAGAGGATGGCCAGCGTTGCGTAGAGACCGGCTTTCGGGAGGAAATCTAAACATCGGACGCATCTCCACCAACGCCAGGCCTCTGATCTATTGTGCATCTCTAACCAGAAGTCGACGAAGAACGCCAGCTCGAAAACCGTCGTCAGCAGGGCACAAACTCTGTTCAATAACGAATCATATAGTTATTCACTCCAGCTACTAGCTTTATAGAAATGACATTAGTGGCAGAAATGCTCAACAGAAATGGCAGAAATGGAAAAAAGAGTGGCGCTAATTCAAAAGTACCAATGCAAGAAGCTAAAGTGTGCATACTTTGTACCTATCCCTGCGATTACAATGAAGCTTTCTGCTGCAGCTTGCTTGCAGTTTATAGACCTTTTTCTTTGCGACCGTCTGATCTCAAGGGGACTCAGTCATCGACCTCGTGCCAGCTCTATGGGACGACACGTGAACGATACATACATATATATCTCGATTGACAAATACCTATCAATGGTAGATACATTTAATACTAGCGGGGCTTGGTCCAGTTTACTATGTGATCGATCAACAGACAGACCTGATGAGCTCAAAAGCCTTAGAGAACTACAGTCAACATGTATTTTGCCGGCTACGGTTGAAATGTACACCACCTGTAAAATACTAGCACATTCAGATTCGATATTTGAATTGTCTTCAATTGTGCTCATTTAATTCCATTATACTGGCAATGATATATTTAAAAAATAGTTAATTTGTTATTTACCACACATGAATTGTTTCGCCTCTCGACAGTGAGTTTGCGCATTAACTATCAACCATAGAGTACTAATAATAGATTTGCCCTTCAAAAGAGATTGTCCCTTGTCTACGCGACCCAAGCTCTTCAATATCAAACTTCGCTTTCTTTCTTTCTTTCTTTTCTTTTTTTTTTCTAAAGTTACCATCGCGTCAAGCAGCGCATCTTAAGCGGATGCAGTTGGCCGGTCCTGAAGCACGCTTTCATCATCTCCGAGTGTTTCGCCGTTTCTGATAGTTGTTCTCAACAAAGCACAATGACAATCAGCGCGAAACAGCGTCTTTTTCATTAAACCGTAATACAAATATCAGTCTCTTAAGTGGGGCGCATTTTTTCCATATTCACTAATGTATTCTAAATGTAACGCTAACGTCAATCATCTCAGCAGAACCTCAGCATGTGTTCGAAAAGTTCGGGAATTGAGTGTGAGGGGAACGTATTCACTGGTCCAATGGCAAACGCGTTCAATAAAATTTGCCAGAATAACAGCGACCCTAACACATGCACTTATAACAGATACAAACGCACAAATGAGAGCCCATAATGTAGATGTAACGGTTTTGTGTAATTATTTCGAATCTATTAAGGGCTTTCAAAGGGTTCGTTAGATCTATGAATTCCGACTTTGAAAAGTTTGACTCATTTCTTTGAGCTGGTTTAAAAGATGATACGTAAGAAATACTATCATTTGCTGATGCTTTCCCAAAATGTTTGAAAAGATTGTATTGATCTTTAACTCAAATAACGATAAAAGTGAAATCGTCGTTGCAAACAGCTCTACCTTTTCCTATCAGTACAATTATAAAGCGGAGCGATAATCCGACACACTTTGCCACAGGGTAAGGCCGTTGGGGCATTTAGCGGCAATCGGAAAGGGATGAATCGTTATTGGCTGTCCGCTCCATAGGCCTTATTTCTTAGACCATAGCACTCGCTATAACGTTGACTTAGATTCTAATGTGATCGATGAGATTTATCTATTTGAACGCGTCGAACAAATCCAAAATTAGACCTGTTTTAATGTTAATTTTCTAATGTTATCCTTAACTGCTCAGATTGTGCTAGCTTTCTCCTACGTTGTAAGCTTAATAGCTCAACACGTGTAGTATATAGCGGTTGCCGAAAACACGAATACTAATTGCCTTTGTTCTCTCGGCTCGTTGCGTCTATCAGAAGAGAGAGATAGTTCTTGCTTCTTTTTAATACCATTATACATGTATATATATATATATAGGGTAATTTCCATTGATATGGTTGTGCGAAAGGTACAAAAAATAGAGAAGCTTCATTTACCTGTTTATACTAAAATAAGAGTGAGCTAATCCAGAGTTTGCCTAACTATCTTATAACTTAACCTAACCTATCTTATAGTCTATTGCTTTGACCACAGAAATAAAAAAAACCTCTCAGAGCTGTTCGCCAGACCCGAAACTCGGTGATTGGGTGGCAAGTACAATACAGTGAAGCCCTTGTTGGCATTTAGTTGATTATTTTTGTCTGCGAACATGGGTCTATCTTACTTTACCTTGCTCGTATTGAATAGGATGAGAGTAACTCGCACGAACGCGTCTTCAGAAGTAAGTTTCTTAGAGATATTATACTTGCTTTCTTATCGTTCAACAAAGAAGTTCGATGAAATGAAAAAAAAATACTCCGCTGTCCCATCTAGCCAGAGGGGGATGGGTTTATATTGGCCATTGCATTTGAAGCATGTGTAAAACCAATTGCCGTCGATACTGACTCTATAAGAGTAACTGAAGGTAATAGGTGGCCTCAGAATACAACTCGACTTTTGTAGGACGGGTCATACGCGTTATCTTGGGTTGCAGAATAAGTGTTAACCGTTTTTTACCTAGCTGGGCTTGAGATCACGTATTTTAAATAAAGTGCCACGAAAAGCTGTGCGTCACGTAAATTGATGCAAAGAAAATAAGTCAACCGTATTTCCATCTACGTAAATTTACAGAGCTGAAACGAGATCGAGCTATTTCTAAAACGGTCGATCACGGGTGATGAGAAACAGAGCATATGAAACAATAACGTGTAAATAAACAAAAATGTGCTTCACAGTCGCTAGCGAAACCAACGCTGACGCTTATAAAAAGGTGTTCTAATGTGTTAGATAAGATAGAAACTAAAAACTGTGCACAATGTCCTGGATTTCTACTGTCCATAACTCACAAGTTTACAGCAAGTCATCGGAACAGATCAATCCAAATCTGAGAAGAAAAAAAGACATCGTTTTTTGCTGTAACAATGCCAGACCACATACTCCTTCAGCTGATCGGCAAACATAAAAAGAACTAGAATGTACTTGTTATATAGCCCAGATCCTACGCCATAAGGACTATCGTACGCTTTGGCCTCAGCAGGACCTTCTTAATAGTGTTCATTTAGCTTCAACAAAATGCAAATGCAAAAGTCACTTTTACAATGTTTCTTCTAAAAAGGATAGACATTTTACAATGACAGAATTATGGTCTAAAAGAAATAATCGATCAAAATAGTGCATAGTTGGTTTCGGATTTTTATTTTAAAACGGAAAAAAACAAAACATATTCTCCAATTTTGACAACAAGCTGATATTTTAAGTAAAATTAATCACCTACGTTCCTAGTTGTTCTACCGCATATCATCAATAACGTCTATAAGTAATTACTTTTGACAAAAATGACAACGTATCACTCGGACAAGATTATACTGCCGGCATATTGCGGAATTTCTTATATTTAATTGTAATCTATATAAGTTTAAGGTTAAGTTGAATCTGGGGAACGGTGTACGCATAGTCATTTGTGTTTCTTCTTCATTTTTCGAATTTTGCCAATAATTGGCCCATACTGCGGAGCAGAACTTCATGAAGATCATGAATCATAGTATTTGACATGCCTAATTCGGTGGTAAATCAATATAACGCATCACTTGTTCTATCCAGAATGACAGCTCCTTCTATGGAGAGAAGCATGTTCTCTTTGGCTTTGAAGGATTGGCTTTTTTGGACGAAACCGTTAGTTATAGATTTGTTGTTCTCTTGTAGTATTGGTTGTTTTCAACGATAGCTGTTAAGGTCCCATCGTACAATTTTTACAAAGAATAACTTGTTTTTGGTCTTTTTTTGAAAATCTAATTTTGGGACAAATAAAATAATCATAGAAAAATTATATTTATCATTATTTTGTTTCTTCATCGTTTAATGGCAGCTCAATAGAATGCAAAAAATACTTAGCCATACACTAAAGCTTGCCTTTTTAAAATCTGCTCAAAGAAAAAATCAAGTTATTCTAAATTTCCGCCCATTAGCACCTTGGAATTTGTGAAAATTTGATTGTAAATTTTTTAATCCGTCAGCGACAAAAGTGTCTTCAAATATTATTTTCTCTCTCTCTCTCTCTCTCTCTCTCTTGTATATATATATATATATATATATATAAGAACGAGTAGATTTATGCAATCGTGAAGCATGTTCGGTAAACCACAGTGAACACATTTATTATGTACGTGTGCATTCGACCCTGTAACCTCGAGTGCTCCAATATCGTCATGGTACGACGTTTTTCTTCACACATTTCCGTTACGCAACCGTACTAATTCATGCTCTCTAGCCTTTTATAAAAACCAAGAGTAACTTGCTTGGTAAGGTCTGGCCTAGTAATGTATGTGTGGACATGAGAAGGGAATTCTTCCGCGATTTTTTTTTTACCTAAACCTAAGTTCATTCGTTTCAAACAAAGCTCTCCTTACCTTCACATGCTTTGCCTACAAATAGATATGAGCTCATAATGCAGAGACTTATCTTTATGATAAAGGACGTCACGACGTCGTACGGACGACTGCATTCTCATTTAAATAAAAAGCTGTTCCCTTTTGCATAAACTGGCTGGTTTAGTGGATAAACTTAATGGTAATTGCACCCCTGGGAGGCATAATAAATAGAAAATCAAATTAATCTTTAAAGGCTCGCTGGTCTTTTCAACTAAAATTGACAACATCTTCAGGAAAAAGTTGCTTTTGTGTTTTATATATATATATTATGTGATAAGTCATAAAAATGTTTCAACGAATTACTTGTGGTATTGCCGCGAACCTCTTTTAGTTTATGTAAAATATGAGCAATAAAAAAAAAAAGGTACTTACGTTAGGAAGAATCCCAGCGCACTGTGTCTTACGATCAGCTCAATCGAAACTCCCCATAGAACTGCAAATGGCCAAGTAGGTATCATTAATATCTAATTATGTTCAAATATTAGAATCTGCTTGGTGAGACTCATAGAACGTTCAAGTTGCATTTGTGATCAGAAAAATAAAATATATTTGTTGTATTTTTAAGGCTGAAGAAGTTTTTAAATGCGGATAGTTATTACAATGGACTTGCAACGGCTGACGCCATTGGTGCTAATTCTGGTGCTTTTCTGCGCACCCGAATTAGCTCCACGAAAGTCGGAAAGTGTCTATGTCTATCAAATATGCATTGGCTGAGTTATATAAGAACGTTGGAAATTTACGATGTACGAAGGTTCTCCAGAGGAGGGCGCATGCAGCTGAAAGTAGGACTGAAATTCAGCTCAACCCGGCACCTCGGTTTACTGTATTCAGTAGTCTCCATTTGGAAAGCAGCTTATAGCTTAACTGTCACATATTCACCCTTTAACGCAGCTTTCAACTGAGAAACTTGTCTCCAATTGCTAGGTGTGCCGGAGACCATTTCTCAGAAGGCGTTCGAAAAGAGTTTTTGCATTGAAAATGGGGAGGTCGGTATGACTAAGCCAAGCAGGCAGCAACTGCAAATGATCTCCGATATATTAAGGCAGCGACACAGATCCGACCACTTTACTTCTATTCATCCGAGTAAATAGAGATACATGTATTTTCTTCTTTAGCTGAGATGATTCGTGATGTCTGTAGTTATATGCCAACAGCGTTAACTCTACCTATTCAAATGTGGCGTGTTTCTTAATGCTCTAAGAGCTGTTTTATCTAAATTTATGAGAGGGCTGACAGGCTCCGAGCTGCCGTCTCATCTTATCTATCTCCACTCTTCCTAACCAAGCGTTCGGGAAAATATTTGATCAATCTTTTCTGCCAACTTTATCTGGCCCTGCTTCATTAATGCGTGCTATGAAAAACGCACATGCTGAAGGATTCCAACCAACTTTAAATCCAATCTAATAAACAATATGAACTTACCCAATAGCGAAGTTATCCAATAAACTTAAGTACGTGACATGTTCCAGAGATTAACTGATAGCAATTTTACTTTATTTTTGTAAAGCAGTAAGTCCGTCGATGCTTCAGAAAAGCCTAGTTGCATACAGGTTTGATGACTTTGTTGTTGGAACAAGCTTACCGTGTCGACAGAAATGTCCACATGCCTAGTATTGAGTCCTGCAAGGCAATAGTCTTCGACTTCTGCCCATGTTTGTAACTGCTATAAAAAGGTTTTGTATAGGGATAATAATTGCCTGTGTCACGTCAGCCGGTCACTCATAGGATCCTTTTCAAATAAATATAATGAAACCTTTGTCTGCAAAATTTAATTCGGCCAAGGCTGATTTAATTATCGACAGTGCCCAGTTAGTTACCGCAGGTCCGTCCATTACAAGAGTTCCAGACGAGCATTTGTCTAATAATACACATCTAAATGAGCCGGTTACCAAACTACAATGGCAAGGATATTGGCGACTAGTAGGTCCCTTGAGTTTAAAAGCGGCTTTCGTTATATTGCGCTTCCTGTGGTTCTCACATGCCTTGACCTTGGATGTAGCAATAGAATCGTGTTTATTTTAGTATTTAAAAAAAGTACCAAAAACAGTAAACGATAAGTGTATAGATAGGCCAACGCAGATTTGCAATCCTAAAAATACTGAACAAAGCTGCGCGTTATATGTTGTATTGAATATGTAGAAATTGAATTACACTATGAATATTTTGCAATTTAATACAATTTGTGACGATTTAATGATCATACTTCGTGCCACTAGAAGCTAGCTTATTGGCTCGGGCTAAATAGACGCTCTTGCTTATGGGTTACAGCAAGCTTCCATCATTTCTCGCCATTAGGACAGATTGTTTACTAGTATTCCTACACTATACATTAAAACGTCACTACCATATATTCAAATTAACAGGAACCTATATTGTACCTCAATTTGGACACAATTTACGCATGTTCTTGAGTTCGAACAAAGAGACGCAGAGCATTTGGCTATGTCAAAGTACTACCTAGGTGTCCGATGGACCTAGAAAACACAAAATATCCTTATTAAACGTTACATTCTCAAACTCACGAGCTAACGTTTAATAGTTTTGTATAGTAAGCAGTGTAACGTGTATATACATAATGAAGAATTTTATTTACACTGAAAAACAATTAACAGACGGACTGGAGTTTGACTGTATTACACTACTACGTAATTCCTCTAATTTCTGTGAGGAACGCAACTTTGGCTGAATTGCTTAGCAAGAAGAAAAGAACTAAGAGAAGAAAAAATGGTCGAAACCAAATCATACCGTTACAACAAATTGCCTACCATACGTCTTCTCTGTTTCTGCTGATCTTTCGCTTTTTTTTCTCAGGTTCAAACGCGCTGGCCCTGTTTCCGATAATCAAACGCGGACTTTGTCGCTAATAAACTAAGGATGAGCTTTATAAACTTATCAATCACGGGCGCGTGGCCACTGTTTGTGGTAAAATATTTCTGTAAATGTGACTCACTCTAGCGGCGTGAGGCGCTTTATTGTGGAAACGAATCTGACGCTCGGGTTTGCCTAAATGGCCTCTAACCTGCTGTTGCCTTTTGAATAGGCTTTGCTTTTGATGTGGGTTCTAAAAAATAGAATGCTAATAGAATATGGTAACTTTATGAAGGAGGGGCAAATACCCTTCGACAGTTTGACTCAGTTCCATTGTACAGTTAGGTCGTGAACTTGACTAGAACGATCAAATCAAGTGTTTATCACATTTTTATTTGTTGTAGCAAAAAAGCTGCCTTCTAGCAACGATACATGCTATCCGTGAAGACGATCCGTACCGAAGAGACCAATTTTACGAATAGTAGTAAAAAAAACGCGAAGACAATGCACCGTTTCTGAATAAGATTGTCCGAAACAATAAAGCTGCTTTTCATTTACATGGCACGATTAATCGACATAATTATATTTATTAAAAAGCTGTAAATCTGCACGTTATGCGAAAACGTTATGCACACTGACCAGGAGTTACAGTGCGGTGTGGTATTTCAAGTAAAGGATTAATTGAAGCATTATTTCTTGACAGTTTCTTGAGTTTACTGAAGTAGTCTGTTCTCAGCGCGCCTTCGCGAACACCCTGATGAAAACCTTAAAGTTAATTTCGAACAGGACGGAACACCTGCGCACGATCACCTTGATCCTGGACCATGTCTTGATGGGACTCTTCCAAAGGGGAAGGCCAACACCACAAGACTGATAAAACTATACGTTTAAGAGGCGCAATCGAGCAAGCATACGCTGTAACACCTAATAAAGTGTTTGCTGAAGCATATGAATGAATAGCTCGGCGTTTGCGAGCAGCCTATTAACCAGAATGCTTCACTTAGACGATAGGAGGAAAAGCTATATATTTTATATACAGATTCTTAGACAACTCAAATATGAATTACATTTACAATAGAAATAATACAAAGACCCGTTTGAAACGCGTATGCATTTTTTGCGACACCCTCAAAGTTGCAACAGTGCCCACCAAATTTCTTCATTAGGGAAAATTAGAAAAGCTTATTCGATGCCGTCAGCAGTTTAAGGGCAATTGGAATACTATATGCGTTTGTCTAGAGTTAGTTACCCTGACTATAGAGAGCTGTTATTGAAGTGGGTCGCATCTGCTAACTTCACATGTCTTCTAATGGAAACTACACTTTCGAAAGCTAATGAAAAAGTGTTAAGACACTTAAAATTTTATAACGAACTTCGCAGGCACTGCATCTCGGGTGCGTTTCTTCTGTGTTGCTATTGGGGCGCGCAGAATTAATGCAGGACCGCCTGGAACAGCTATCAGCATTTGCTCATCGCTTGACCACAAATAAAAAATGGATTTCTAACTTTTCATTTGATCTTAACGAAGTTAGCAAAAGCTGTGCACGGTCCCTTCGTGCGGTTGTTGTAAGCCAGGTGCGCAGTCTTAGTTCGGCCGCCCTACGTCCGAAGCATCCTGGTTCTGCACCGAGAAGTCTAATGTGACACTCTAAATTATGTACGCCTCTTACGTGTTATCCTTAATTAGTGACTACTATTAAAGTACCTCCTAACGATATTACGGGAAAGATACATTACCGCACGGATGCCTTACAGATTCTATCTACAAGGTGCTCATAAGTTTTTTTTTCATAATAGACTGCAATTATCTCTTGTCTGTTGTGTTGTGTCACATGTAGTTAGTCCGACTTTATACTGAGTGAAGAACCAAAGGAGGCTATTCTGGAAAGGTGCTTTTCCGACCGGCGCGTTCTGTCGTCTGTCACAAGAGATCCAATGAATGTCTGTTTCACGTTGTGCTAGATAGAAATGGTAGTAGTCGTTTCGTAGTATCTTGGCAGAAACAGTCGAGACCGGCTGTGTGGTGCGATGGCTCCCCAGTGGCTATTAAACAACCGAGACAAGATAGGGTGACTCACCGATGGTCGTGAGAACTCCAGTGAAGTGCAGTACTGGAATGAGGATGTCCAATAACTGCGCACTCTCTTCAACCCACAGCGGGCTGGTATCTCCATAGGTGCGCTCAAGCATTGTCACGACGATCGCTGTACGATACTATTCAGCTGAAATCTCTTGGTTTATCGAGTCAACGCCAAGATAGTATATACATCACACTAACGCTAACGAGTAGGCCGCTTATTTCTTCTTTATCACAGAAAGCACTAACTGCTATGTGGACGATCTCCGGAGAGTTACAGGTGTCGCAGATACGCACGTCAGCTGGGATGTTGGGGTAGTAAATTTTTTCTCGAAGCTGAAAACGCTTCTATTTAGTCTTTATATTTTCATCGCAGCTTTTTACTGTGTGGCTTTAACTAGCATGGCGTCTAACCAGGCTTAGCATAGCTAGATACTCAAATGCAATAGATAGTCAACAGACAAATGAGTCAAGAAGCCGATCAACATAAACGAGTCGCATTTATCAATTGTAGTACATACAATAGTCTTGTAGAGCTGTCCGTTAAAACATTGACGATCGTCTACAATCATTGAACAGAGACAGCCACTGAAAAGGTAAATGGTCTGCGGCGAAAGCTCTGAACTCAGATCACGACCCAGCCCGTTCGACAAGGGCCAATGTGAATGTCGAGTGCATTGGTGTCGAAACTCATCACCGAGATTTTCACGTATGTCTACGCTAAGGCTACGTAAGGCTACGCTAAAACGTTACAGTAGAAAAATACTTTGTCGGAAAATGAGTGCGTTCGAACTCAGATACGGCTAGAATTCTTGCGAGCACTGGGTATTTTAGCTTCCCAACTCGTTCGCTTACGATGCGTACCATCGTGCAATAAGGGCTGGTCGCTCTTGAACGGCCTGCGGAACCGCGGATGCCGCTAGTCACGGCGGCTACCACTGCTGACGGCACCACCTCTAGCGCTGCGAGATTAAGCTATTTGAGCCGGGCCGATATGTAAGCAGCTGAGGCCAGTGTTGCGCTGGGTTGGCTGTTGTCAAAGCCCAAAAAAGGAACCTGTTTACTGCGACCGTGCGACCGACAGACTCAATAGTGTTGACGGCTATGATAGCCAACACAATAATTGTTGTTTTACCAGTTGAGTGTGGTGTTGATCATGCTGAAAGCCCGTTATAAATCGGAGTCATGTAGGAAGAAATTAAAGAGACAGGGTTAAATTGAGAAGTAGAAAAACTTCGACTTTATTTGACAACCTTCCAGCTCCGCCGAGTAGGTTGTCGTCGAGTTGTGTTCATCAAATTTTCAAGTCCCGTTTCCTTGAACCATAATATTTAATAAGTCCTCCGCCTTAATTTCAGCTGTTATGAACTGGCTCCCGAAGCATATGGTTCTTCGCCAGGCCCGAAAGGCCCAGCCAAGCTGGCTGGCCTTTCGGGCAGACAAACGTAAAGGGCAACGGTATTTGCCGATAACGACAACAGCAGCGGCAACGACAGACGTAAGCATAGCGAAGTTTATCAGTACCTATTTTTCTTTTTTCTATCACTCGTTACTATTCCTTTCTATATTTAATTTGCGATTTTGCTTCAGTCCTATGTCGTCCTCACTCAGCGTTATTATCGTTGACCACGTCTTTATATGAGTTGTCGTAAGTACATTAAAAGCAGCGTTCATGAATAAACGAAAAATAAGCCGTCACTTGATCACTTCTTTCAAGCACATTCTCTCTCCCTTCAAGTTTCTGTGACACAACATAATTGAGGAAGACGAATAGGCTTCCGTGACCACCAACGACAGTTTATGTTAAAGTTTTTCGTAAGTTTTTTGCTTGTTTTGTTTTTCAACGTGGCCTCCTCTTTTCTTTCCGCCGTTCTTCTATCTCGCCAAACAAATTAAGGTGAAGGCTGTCTTTAAACGTCGTGTGGACCTTGTCACATTTGTGAACTCGGCAATAACAGGCGTCACAGATTAAGCATAGGACGCGGTCTTCTAGGGACTTAGAGATTATTTACTAGTAGTAGCAGTGCCGGTGGAGGACCATTACTCTTAGCTATTAGCATCCACTATAACTGTTTCTCTTTGATCGATAGGACAATTTTTTTTCATAACGACGGCCATACAATATGCTATGAAACGAATTCGCACTTTTTGTACCGTGTTCGTTTTATAAAATTTTCTTAGTGAAGATGCAGCAAGAAGTTGGCATAAGTATCTGGGCTATGTAGACATATACATTTTGTCAAGGGTCCTCTTTTGTGTCCAGTTTGACTAAGCGAAAATGACTGCTTATCTATTACCTTTCAGTTATCTACTAATTTTATTAGTTTAAGTTTCGTTCTTGACGGCATTTAGATGATATTACTTCAACTCGCGTTTCCGCTTCAGGCGGCTCGCTTTTGCTAGGTATAATGCTTTAGTGAATCTTTGTTCGATTTCTCGCTCACCTAGGTAAAAGCCTTCTTACCTTCCGATCATCAAAAGAAACATTAGTCTGTATCGATCTAGCTCGAAAATAAATATATAATCGTATCACCAGCAAACGATCCTGAGCGGCGCTTGGCGATAAAACATGATGTAGCTCTCCCAAAGATGCAACGGTTACGAAGTCAGTGGACAAGGGACAGAGAGCTCTTGTAATCTACGTGAGGTAATACGGGTCTATCTTGTAACTTCCCCCACCATACGGCTAGTACTAAATAAGGGTGAATATCCTAGTGATAGCAAATTATTTCACTGACTCTTTCATGGTCTTCCCTATACAAATAATAGTAATAATAATAATGATAATAGCAGCAGTAGTATAGAGCTGATTCGATAATGGTCTTGCAGGGTCGCAATTCGTATCGTGGGTGTTGGTAGTGATCGTCGTGCTGGCAACTGGTCAGCGGTAGAGTCAGTATAGGTACCCTGGTGAGGTCTAACTCAGTCCTGCTTCTCTTTTCTCTAGACTGGATATCTGAATGAAGAATTGATCGCGCGGTTGGTGAGTCGACCAATAATCTCGGACATGGGCACCGGCGCGATACCGCGTACGGCCTTGATTTTATCCTGGCACTGACTATTCGACGACTGCGGCAAACGAACGCCGCTACGCTAGCTACCACCAAAAGAGCGTAAAAGAAAGAGAACGAAGAGATACTAAGGAGACTTATCTCGTCATCGTAGACTTACCGTTCGTTGCCGTAATACCTGCCGTCTTTGAACCGCTGATAGATTACTAGTCAGGAAAAGAAAGAGAAATGTAATATTTCCCGATCGGTCTATACGAGCTGGTCAAGCAGGCACATATGAATGTGTATTTGGCCAAATCGTTACTAATATCAATATCTTGGTCTAAATTTATCAATGTATAACTTAGTGGAAACGTACTATCTTTGGCTAGCCGGCACCTATATCTGCTATCGACCTTTAAGGCAGCCAATGTAATCTTTGAGCAATGATATAGTTAAGCTTTTTGGCTGTGAGAAACATACTCGTTCTTACATTACCAATACTGCTCAACCCTAACATGTCGATCGATCGATATAAAAAGGTGAAATTAATTTTGACTCGATAGCTACTATCAACATTTTTGCTGTCGATGTTTCTAGATAATCCGTTCATTTGAGTCGGATTTCCATGGCCGATGGTAGCGGTCAGTATCGAGTACAAACCATAGTTAGGGTACTCTGACTTGGCACTTCACACTAACACGCCTGTCGCTCGATGTTATGTTGTCGGTACGAAGAACGCGCCTCGGGGGGCTCTCCGATGTGCTTCATCTGTGTGCCACAGTTGATGTTGCTGTTTGGCTTCGTAGGTGTCTTGTTTCCCTTTTCCACCAAATATTGGCAGCGCGACTAACAAGCGCGCTTGCATCTGCACATCACTATTAGGCTGCATCAACGAGGTCCGCCTCGTTTTGCCTCCCCTGAGACTCGGTACTAGCTCCCACCGCCAGATATTTTATCAGTCGTTATTTATGAAGGTAGACGCAGCTGCAAAGGTCGGTAAGTGAAAGCATGGAAGAGGTGGATGGACGGATACACTGCCATGTCTTTTTTCGCGCGTCTCCGCCTGTGGGTCGAAAAACGAATTCCTCTTAATCCGCGAAGAATGACGAACATTGTCAGAACGTTGGCAACGGGATAGTCCGTAGAACTAACAAAATACGATGAATTTTGTCCCGAGAAACCACAGTAGGTGATGAACAGTGTGACACTAATAGTGGTATTTGTTGACTTATTAATACACATTGGTCACGATGATTTCTTGACTCCTGATTAGAACCTCCTCTTGTTGAAGTCGGCGCAAATTTTTGAAACTGTGCAAATCATTCGAAGACATCGAGCTCTGCTATCAACAACGGCACATAGTGAGATCGCGAACTTGCGCCACGCTCCAGCCCTCAATCTATTTCTCCCTCCGTTTGATTTCTATTGCTGCTGCTGCTACTGCCGCTGTTGCTACCAGCGATTTCCAGTCAGAGTATTGTTCTCGTTGTAATCACAAAAGTCCGGGTCCAGTAGTGTAAATCTTTCTTGTGCCCCACAGTATGTTTCCTATTTGAAGAACATAACAGCCAGCAGGCAAAACGGAGCAAATGCAGAAGAGTCAACAGACAGAGAAAACAATCTTCCGACATAATCTTGACGGGACTGTCTGTAATGTGTTTGCGGGAAATGGGTACAGGGGACAGAGACTGACGGAACGATGGGAAAGCAGAAGGAGGTTGGAGAGAAAGAAGCGAAGATCATACGCTATCCAGTGCTATACGGGCGGTAATCAGACCTGTTTCAACGCATAGACTTGCTTTGCTTTTGAATGACGCTAGAGGCGGCGGCAGCGGCATCTAAAGCGATGAAAATAGAGAAAGAACTCGGCCGGTTGGAAAAGGAGCATAATGCACTTGAACGTCTACGAGAAGTTTGGATAGCAATAGCGGCAGCACTGTTCTACAATGAGAGCAATGGGAAACTAGACTGCGAGAATGGTAGGCGACTTCGGGGGGCGCTCCGGGGTGAAAGGGGATACTGGACGAATGTTAGCTAAGTGACTCTATGTATGTTTGTGTGTGTGAATAAAAGTGGACCCGTATGTGTCACAAAATCGGCTCTTGGGAGTCGTAGTAAGAGTCGACCTCGATGAATGGACCGTGAGGGCCATAGAGAAAATCAGGAGGAAGAAGTAAAGCAAAAGTACCCGGGTCGGTGGGCGTTCAGTCAGTAGGCGTCTAATTTAAGGGAATCCCTGGAATAGATGCAGGCCGTCAACGGCCTCAAATGATGTAACAGCAGCCTCGTTTTTACTGAGGGGGGGGGGGGGTAGAGGCAAAGCACGGCCTAGTGCGTCTAGCGCTCGCTGCTGGAGCTCATCTTCAAGTCCGAACAACGAGAAGGAGCGTATTATGACACTCGAATTTATGGACGGCTAAACTTGAGCCTAAACCTCTGGCAATGTTTTTTGAACAAGGCAGAGAAGTAGAGGTATATGAAGGCAGAGAAAAATAAAAGGCCAGGCGCCAGCCGTTGCCTGCTGTAGCACTCGTAGGCCATCTGTGCCAACAGGTTCAATCGGTCGCTTTAGTCTAATAGCTTTCACTGCAGAGAAAAGTCAATACACAAAGAAGGGAAAAAGGGGAAGAGGCGCATCATGATGACGTAAGTGCGCTTCATGATAATCCTTAGAGTGAAATTCTAGTTTGGGAGGTGGTCATTGTCAGTTCTAAATTAGTTTGTTAGCATTGAGTAAGCGATTCAGTAGCGATGGGGCCGGGAGTCGGAGTGAAGTCGATAAGCCGTCAGCAGGATGCCTGTTGTGTGGTAAGATATC